TGAGGGATTAGGGTCTAGGGTTTAGGGTTTAGGCTTAACCCTGAAATCTTAACTTGCCCGGATACGTCCTTATACCAAGCCCTCTAACCTCAAACCCGAAACAGCCAAACCTGATAATGACACTGAATGAACCCGCTTTAAACCTTATAGCAACCCTTGTCGGACCCCTTATCGTCGAACCCCGTATAGCTGCCCTATTGTAGAACCCTTATAGCAACCATGGCCTACCCCTTAGTATAGAACCTTTGTGGCAACCCTATTATTATAGTACCCTTCTAGCAACTCTTATCGGAAGACGTATTATAGAACCCTTGTAGCAACCCGTGGCATCATAACCCCATAGTCGCCCTATAGTAACCTTAAACCCTAAACCACAAACCCTAAACCACAAACCCCAAACCCCTAACCCCTAACCCTAAACCCTGAGCCCCTAAACGCAACACCCTGAAGTCCTAAGCCCCAAACCCCAAACCCTAAACCCGTAAACCCTGAACCCTGAACCCCTAAACCCCTAAACCATAAAACCCGACACCTTACAGTAATCCTCATCTCTTGGAAACCCACGCCTCGAGCTCCACGGCTCGAAGTTCACCCGGTGCTTTCGTCTCCTGGGCGCCAATCGAGTGGGAAGTCCCCATTACGGGTCCAAGGCTTCAGGCTGAGGGTTTAGGGCCTCTGAATTGAAGCTTCAAGTTAACTAAGGAGTTTAGGGCTCGAGGCAGGTACGGGTTTAGGAAGTTTAGGAGTCAGGGTCAGACCACATGCAGGTTTCAGGATATAGGGCTAGAGAGTCGCACAAAACTACTATGCGAGCACAGCCACGAACCTCAGACGCTAAATTGGGATCCCAAACACATAAGCAGATAGGGCAGCTGGGCGGCAATGATTTCAGCCATGGTCATGGTGTCCCGCAGCAGCAGCTTATCGGCTTCACCATTCGGGTGGACGGCGAGAACTTTCACAAACTTGCCCTTTGCCGGCCTGGCTTCGTCCTGGAAAGAAAGGTTTCAGGATTTTGGAATTTGGTGTTTTAAGGTTTTGGGTCAGAGTCCGACAGTTTGCTAGATCTCCACGATCGGGGACAGTGATAGTAGTACTAACAGAGTTAGTCACAGTAGTAGTGGTAGTAGTAGT